ATCCATCCATCCATCCATCCATCCATCCATCCATCCATCCATCCATCCATCCATCCATCCATCCATCCATCCATCCATCCATCCATCTCCCTCTCCCTCTCTCCCTCTGCCTGTTCATCTATCCATTTGTCGTTTTGTTTTCCATCCATCCATCTCTTTATTTAGTGATTCATTCATTCATAATACCTTGCCATCACAGAACATTCAACATGCCATCCTGGTCGGCCCTAAAATAAATATTAAAGAAAAACATGAAAACAACACCTCATTAATAGCTATTTTATACCTGTTTGACAAGGCCATGATACATTTTTGACAGAATATAGAACGAAATAAAAAAGTTAAGATCAGGGGTTTCATTACATGTAACCCTTTCACTACTAGAGGCTAAAAGAGTCCAACACAGGCTCTTCCTGGAACATAATTAGGGTGTTTTTTATTTCTCAATATCACAATGAAAAACACATGCTCAGTAGATATTGAGGCCTTATGACACACATCAAAGCAGTTGATAGAAGCTGATTGGTTAATGATCCAAAAAACAATAGCCCACATGTTTCAAAACATAGAAATGTCCTAGGGGATGGGTAATTGAAAAGCATAAAGGTCTTTCTGCTGGCTGCTTTTGGCCGCTCTTGCAAAAATGTAGTATTTCTGGTTGGCAGCTTTTGGCCGCTCTAGTAGTGAAAGGGTTAAGGATCAGTTATCGGAGAATGCTTCAGCATATGAGCAAAATTCTCCAGCTTAAACTACCATTTACAGCTTAGTAATTTTTAAGATGTTCACTTAGACCTTCTCCTATCATGAACATCCTGTAGCAAGATAGATGACAATGATAACCTTGATTAAACACACCTTTCCCCAGGGGGAATCCCATGCAGGTTCTGCTGGTTTGCTTGCCTTCCACAAAGCAAAGTCCCTATCAGATCTTTTTTCACCAAGGTTTTGACTTAACTCTCCTGAAAACACAAAACACCATAAGATATACTCTATAAGATATACTCAGCTATAAGATATACTCTATAAGATATATACTCTATAAGACATATTCTATAAGACATACTCTATAAGATATACTCACCTATAAGATATACTCACCTATAAGATATACTCTATAATATATCCCTTATAAGATATGCTCTATAAGATATGCTCTATAAGATATACTCTACAAGATATACTCTATAAGATATACTCTATTAGATATACTCTATAATACATACTCTGTAATACATACTCTATAAGATATTATACTCTATAAGGTACATACTCAGCTATAAGATATACTCTATAATACATACTCTACAAGATATACTCTATAAGATACACTCTATAATACATACTCTATAAGATATACTTTATAATACATACTCTATAAGATATACTCTATAAGATATACTCTTTAAATTTCTAACCCACTTACCCTCTCCTTCAGCTAGTGCCTGGAGATCACCGACAGCTTCTGGAACAAGACGAGCGTAGCTGTGTTTYTCGCTGGAACCAAACTTTATCGTATCAAAATACACAGAGTAGTTGGATTCATACCTAGTGGAACCAAGATTCGAGAAGTTAAATGACGAGTTTAAAAATCACATTGAATTTGATTGCCTCCCAGTGGGCTCAGTTAGTTGGGCACTTGAGTTCATGTGCATTATATTTCAAATATTTTATGAGATTAATATATTTATAAATAATGTTTATGCACTGTACTTACGCATAGCCATTGGCAATAACTTTTTCTATGAACGAAACAACTTCAGGGACATATTGAGTGATTCTTGTCAAGCAATCGGCAGGCAGTACCTGTCAATCAATCCAAAATTAATAATAATCTTTATTAATAATAATAATCTTTATTATTTATAGCGCACATGAAACATGTAATATGATCACATGCACGTAATAAAATAAAATAAAATAATAATACAATTGTGTTCAAAGATCCCTAAAAGTTCAGCAGTTCTCAACAATACAACTCAAGTTTGATGCCTGGCCACAGTGTCATAAGTACTGTATGTTAGTAGAGATTCTAGTTCAGGTTCTCTCCTGTGCTTCAAGGGAATTTTCTCTGAATTCTTCAGTTTTCTTCCCTCCACAAATATCAACTTCTAGCTCAATGTTAAATGAATTACATTTTTTTTTTCATTATTTAAAAAAACACTGCCTAAGAGAGGCCTATGTAAAGACRTACCCTTTGCACTGAGTCCCAAGAGAAATTGTTCTGGGGGACAAAACAATTGATTGTTTTTGCATATAAGAAAAGATGGTCTATTGTTTTGTCCCCCATAACAACTCCTCTAGGAAATCAATGCAAGGGGTTTATAAAGCTTTACTTACGTTCAATGATTTCATGTCCTTGTGGAACTCGTTTTCCCAGTATTGTGTCASTTTAGCAAAGATGTGGTGATCTGTTACGTCTGAACCAAACTGGACAAATAAATCAAACATTGAGTATAACAAGCGGTGCATAAAATATAAATGGAATGAATAGAGCAGAGCAGAGCAGAGCAGAATAGAATAGGATATGAATGGGGTGGAATGGAATGGGATACAATAGGATGTCAACACAGTAACTGAACAGAACATAAGCCCTGTCTGAGGCAGAATGAAATAAATTGAAATTGAATGGAAAGGAATGGAATAGGATTTTGGGCTAAGAGATAGATATAATATTTCTATCAAATACCTTTGTGTCCAGCCAGGCTGACAGTGGGTCAGCGCCATCTGTCAACACATCCTGCAACAAAATTCCCAAACTTCAATCTTAAGTGTTTTTCAATATTCAATCCCTCAAAACCTCTATTTCAAAGCTTATATATTCACAACCTCTATGTAATGCTTTTATGTTAAATTGTAAGCCATTCAGCTAGATTAGCTATACTATTTCTGAGTGACCTTGACCCTATTTTAGTAACATTGAATGTTGTAAATAATAATATCACTTATCAAACTCATTAATAATTCATGAGGAAAACACAACAGAAATCACGACCATGAAGAGTTCTGTAAATCAGATACAGAATCGTGTTCATTTGCATAAACTTTAACTTGGATTTTCTTGGGCAGATTCACTTTAATTTTGAAAATTTTAGTGAAACACAAAGGAACTAACCTAGACGTTTGATAAGCAATCTACAGTATTCGTGTCCGTGTTGTATCCGATATACAAACTCTCGTCTACGCCTCGAGTTCGTAAAGAGGTTTATTTTAAAGACTTTTATTTCCAAAGATTTGGGCATATTAATATTTACAACATTAATATGCCCAAATCTTTGGAATTAAATGTCTTAAACAGTACTTAAAAACTCATTAATAATTCATGAAGGAAACACAATAGAAATCAGGACCATGAAGGAGGTTTTATATCTGATATAGATTCGTCTTCATTTGCACAAACTTTAACTTGGATTTTCTCTATCAAATTTGGTTCATTGCGTAAAGAATTCGGTACAATATACACACATCATGGAAAGTTTTTTAAGCCGTTTAATAAACGAGCAGATTGTGTTTTATCAGGTCTAAAACCACTCGGCTGCGCCTCGTGTTTTATACCTGATAAAACACTCCTGCTCGTTTATTAAACTACATAAAACCTTATAAAAGGTCTGCATAGAAAGTATAAAAATCACCTTAGTAGCAGTCTCGATATCATCAGCAGACGCTGTTCCACTAGATACTAGCTTGGTCAACTTTTCTTTGCTTGTGTTTACTTGAGCAATAATTTTAGTTAACATATTCTTCTTGTCCTCGTCGGTTGTTGATTCCATTTTGATGATATAGGGTTGAAGGGCAGACTCTAAATCAGTGAGAACTGTTTTTGGTGTGTTTTGCTTCTCAATATATTTTTCTAGCAAATGGTTTCGCCGTGCCCTGTGAATAATCTACAAGAAAAAAATAATAATTAAGGATATATAATTTATAACTTCCTGTACTTAGTATCACATCTGTGACTTAGCTGTGCCCTGACTTAGATCAGCCCAGAGGTTGTTTCAAGGTTTGATCTGTTTGTTAGCCATGCCCTGACTTAGATCAGCCCAGAGGTTGTTTCAAGGTTTGATCTGTGAGTCAGCCATGCCCTGACTTAGATCAGTCCAAGGTTGATGATTAGAACGAGAAAGGAACTACAATGTATGCACAAAAAAATTATACAAACCTTATCATCAATATCTGTAATATTCATGACATAGAAGACATCATAACCAAAATAGGATTGAAGAATTCGACGTAGGATATCAAAGGTAATATAACTCCTAAACAAAAGCAATAATTTTTAAGTCAGGCGATGTGCAGTCTCTGGCTACATAATCGTATATAATATCATTTTGAATTGTGAATGAATGGATGAATGGATGAATGAACGAATGAACAAACAAACAAACAAATGAATGAATGAATGAACAAACAAACACATGAACAATAACCGGACAAAGGAACAAAGAAGGAACAAACAAACAAACAAACAAACAACTTTTTAAATGAGGGTGGCACTTAATCATACAAAAAAAAAAGATAAACTCATGGCCTTTCTAAATGAAGGGCCACGATTTATTCTTTAAATAATGGCTTGCATGTCATCTCCAGAGTAGTACCAAGTAAATTGATCTTTTACGTAACAGGCTATTTACATAATTATTACCTTGCATGTCCCATGTGCGACGCATCGTAAACTGTAGGGCCACATCCATACCATGTCACTCTCTTACCACTTTGAGGCACAAATAAATTCTACAAAAAACATTTTTGGTATATAACAAAGCATTGACTGGGGCCAAGGGAAACAGTGTGTTTTGTGGTATTGAGACGGTGATGTTTCATGAATAGAGGCAGTGACAAATGTATATTATTTCATGATCTTGAGTACGATTCAGAATTTATAGGTACAAATGATGTTTTGAAAGTTTTCAAAATTGGATGATCCTTTAGGCGAGTCTAGTTTGAGAACTCTTAACTGTTACATAAATTTTAAAATATACGACAAGGTTATGTGAGTTTTTGTTTATGATATGCTCAACAAAATTGAGCAACTTCATAGGGACTCTGCAGTGTACAATTTGGGATTTAATTGTACTCATCTTGTCTAATCAGAATTGAGTTACTTTTGTGGAGTATATTATAGTCTTTAGTAACTAAGACACAAATCATTGGTTTGTAAATAAAATTAAAGGAATAAATAAAGGAAAAATGAATGAATGAATGAAAGAAAGAATGAAAAAGAGAAAGAAAGAAGGAAAGCATGAAAAAAGAATAAATGTATGAAGGGAAAGAAATATATTAAAAAGAAATTAAGAACAAAATGAAAATAAAAAATAAGTAAAAGAAGGAAGGATTGAAAATGAAAGAAAAACAGATACCAAGGTTTATCAAATATACCCACACGTACATCCATACAAAAGTCACCCTTTTCAAAATGAAACAGGAAAATTTAAAATAGTTTTTWAAAAAAATTACTTTTTTTAAAAAAGATGTTCAAAATTATAGCAAGCTATATAGCAAGTAATCAAACAATAAGCATAAAATTGGGAGTTCAATGATTACTACAGATATACAACGAAGCATATTCTTATTGGTCAAAAAGGACAGTCACTTTTCATTGACCACAAAGTCTTGAGTGTTTTCCTAGAGGCAAACTATTGGATTGCATCAGAAAAACTTCAAGGAATAATCCCTACCTTCTCTCTTGTCAGGCTGTTGAAGATTCTTAATTCTCCATGACCTTCAGGTTGGCGCCAGCTTGGTAAATTTTTATTTGACATGTCGTAATAATTGTTCGGATTTGAAGAAAATTTTACTATGGAACTACAAACCCGGCTTCGTAGAACACAGTTCAAACTATTCCCAAAATATCTTGCGTGTCCAAGTATTCGCATTAAATAAATACACTGATTGCAAGCTGGAAGGCTGAGGACGCTTTGTGCAAAGATTCAAGCTATTAAATTGTGTAGAAGTGGTAAAAAATTGGACGAGATTACAAGCAACCGGCAAAATTTCCTTCTCTACTCGTCCGCCATGTTCAATGGGAATATATATATAGTCACCAGCCTCCCCGTAATACACGCTACCGGAAGCCAATTTCCCCGGAAGTCGTTCTAACCGGAAATAATCACTACTAAGATTGTTTTTTGGCGGACCACAATATAACTGTTTTATTTTCACTTGCAGGGTTAAAATAACATTTTCGGTATTTAATAGTATTATGGTTAATATAAATAAAGAATTTTAGTTAAAATATTATCATACTTGTACATATATTGTGTTTTGTGTGATTGTGTATGAAACAATCTGATCCGGCCCTCCCCACCCCTGATAGGAATTTTAAGATTCAAAATAAAAAGCAGTTCTTTAAATAGTGCTCCCCTATGTTTTGTGCCTGTGTGGGTGGGGGTAGGTGTGTGYGTGTATGTAGGGGGGTGGGAAGAGGAAAAGTAAGAAAAAGAGAAAAAATTCTGAACTGTGACAAAAAAATGGAAATTAAAAATTCCCATTTTTAACAAATTTAAAACAGAATTCCTAACAATAAATAGTAATTTTTCTCGGTGTGATTCATTGTAGCTTCAGTGCTTTCTGTGTTTGACCAGTAACAGTGATGTATGGATATTCCAATGTGGATTCTCCAACAGGTCTCTTCATATTTGTTTCTTTTGTCAATGTAAGAACACGAGCTATGACCGTGCAATCATGGGACAGATAGTGGTTGGCTGAAGGTAAAAGGCTAACTGGTTTATGATTGAGTGAAATTAGAAGAAATTCAAATTATTAACTAAACTGCAAACCATTGTTTTGTTCTCAGACAACATCTACGGTGTGTTTCTCGAGCTGAGGACAACAGGTAATAGAGAGAGAATAGCTGACATAAATTACAGTGCAACTACTATAACTGGTGCCACTTACACAGCTAACCAATCAAAATCTAGAATTAAAACAATGCTTCTCTGCTTTGGGTAGTGTATAACCAATCAGAAACCTGATCTGTACGATAATGGTAATTTGATCTTGATGTTATGCATAAACAACTATAGCCATCATCATTTTCTCATGACAATAAGAAGATATGTTGAAAGACTATTGTTTTCTGCTGGTGTCTGATTGGCTCCACTACCCAAAGTTGAAATGTATTGTTTTCATTCTACATTTTGATCGGTTGGTTCTTGCTTACTAAGTGGCCCCAATTTTGGTAGTCACACTGTAATGTACGATAGATTGTAATCAAAATCAAATTTTCTAAGAAGGAAAAGATGGAATAATGGAGCTTGTGGTAACAGTGTTAGAGCTATTGCCTTTTATTCCAGCTTTTTCTTGAGCTGCCTTCTGAAGACAACAGGCAATAAAGAGAGAATGGCTGATATAACTACAATCATGATGGACTTAAAGGACATGATGTCGCCTGTTGTTGTAAGGACATAGAGTTCTACTCCAGCACTAATGAACCCAAACGATGGTGGTGCCACACCTATTAAGAATGCATAAAATAAGTCATTTTATTTGTTTAAAGGGAAATTGTTTGGTATAAATATCAATCAGCTGAATGAATCTCATGAATCTCATTAGCAGCTTGAATAGAATGACAGGCAAATATTGATTGATTGACATAAGGTATGCCAGTTACATACCCAGGAAAGTTCCAACGAAGAATGGTAGTAAAGGAACTCCTATAACAGGTGATGCAATGTTGATAAACCAATTGGGAAGAAATGGAGTGATACGTAGGAATATTATGTAACTAAGAATGTCATCCTTGTGGTGGGATACCTGTGGATGGGAAATTAGTGACTGATCAATAATCCAATATATAAATACAATGAACCAACCAGTACAAGACAATATTGATGTAATTAATTAGAAAGGTGGGTGGATGGATGAATGGGTATAGATAAATTGATGGATGGATGGATGGGTGAATGAATAGAATTGATGAATGGATGGATGGATAAATGGATAGATGAACAGGCAGAGGGAGAGAGGGAGAGGGAGATGGATGGATGGATGGATGGATGGAAGGATGAATGGATGGATATAGATGTAGGGAAAGAAGCAATGGGGGAAGGGGTGGATAGAGAGATGAAAATATAGATGGATGGGTGGATGGATATATGAATAGAATGGAATAGATGAATAAATGAGTGGGTAGATGGATGTAAGAGAAGCTCAAGGATATTCTTTAATTTACCTGTGCACACCATTTATCTACTCTTTCAGGTATATAATGTTTTACCAATTTCCTTCCAACCAGATAAGAAAGAAGATAGCAAAACGATGCACCTACACTAGAACACTGAAAAAATACAAAAAACAACAGCCTGGATAAGTTTAACCAGTCAACTAATACACCGTCAATTATTCTAATCCAGGCAATTAGGCTATTGTTATCGTAACCAATCTGACTTTATTCTTCACTTGACTCTGAAGATGACTTCCGCTCAGGTCGTCGAAACATCAGTCACATCAAACAGTCCTTCTCAGGATTATATCCACCGGATGATCATAATACTTTGATAAACTTTCATTCACCTGGGTTCAGACCATTCTATACAATACAACTCATACGTATAAAATGAAAACAGATACTCACCAAGCAAACTAAAAACATTGCTAATGGAAAAGGGAAAAGAAATCCTGATAAGATACTCCCAAATATAGACCCTGGTATGGCAAATGTTTGTAAACTGAAACCTTGTCAAGGAACTTTACATTTTTAAGTAAACCTAGGAATTGCAATGAGCTAAAGAGAATAACCAGTCAACAGACAATGCCAGTTTGGCRTTAGATGTAAAATTCCACAAGGAAAAAGTTGCAAAGGTGATTAGCTTTTGTTTTGAGATAAACTGAGATAATCTGACTGCATTTGGACAAACAGGGCATGGGTGGCGTAGCGTGAGAGCGCTTGCCTGTCACCAATGCAACCCAGGTTCGAGTCCCGACGAGCCTTGTGTTTTATGTAAGTTGACTTGTTTGTTGGTTCTCTCCAGACCTGTGCTTCAAGGGTTTTCTGGGCTCTCCGGCTTTCCTCCCTCCACAAAAACCAACTACTAAATTCTAATTCCATCCTAGGAGATATTCACCATAGGGCTAACCTCATATCTCCTTTCGCACTGATGTGAATGAATTCATGTTTTTATTCATAATTTTTCCTTCAAAGACTCATGGTGACCAAACTGATAATTTTGATATTTAGGTTACAACAATATTTTGTCATTTTTCTTCTTTAATTTGCATGGAATTCCCTAATTCAATTCCCTTTCTCCAAGATATCCAAAACCAGATATCCAAGGATCTGCAAAGGATACAATATATATGTAACAGTGAATCCTATTACAACTTGCATAAAATATTCGTCTGTGTAGTTTGATAATGCTCTACCAAGACCCTTGGCGTCATCCATACTTCTGGGTAACTTGATGCTTGCTTTGTCTTCACTGGAAAGAGAAAGAGAAAGGGAAATGTAACTTAATTTGAAATCATATCTGAATGTCAGAAAACACATCTGAAGCCAAGAGTGAGTTGTATTTTCAAGTAAATAGGATGACATATGAATAACAAGTAATTTTAAAACCTATTTTAGAACCAAAACTCTCTGTAAGGGACTGTGCTATGGGTTAACACTTTGATTCCACTTTCATCGGTCATCTCCACTTCCAAACAAGTTAAACTTACTGAATAACAATATTTTAGCCTTGTACAACAGCCTTTATAGTTTTTGGCGCTCACTGCTTGAATACGAAAAGAATTCTCTCTTAAAGTGTTATGAGACGGCAATGGAAGGATGAAAGAACTTGTTAATAATAATTGTTATTATTATTATATATCAATTCACATATTACGTGGTTCAGACAAGAACTACGCTGGCTGCCAGACCAGCATATACCACATTTAAGAATGATTATTAAGAATGGTACTGTAACATTATACTTACGGCCGAAGCTCAGGAAAACTGGTATATACAAATGTCATTGCTATTAATGAAGATACGAAAATAATGCCGAGAATGATAAATGGTCCCTTATTACTTGACTGGTCAGTTTCTTCATTCCCTGATTCTATGGAAGATAAAAGTAAAAAGATGAGAAATAAATGAATGAACACATGAATGTCATGGATGAAATTGAATGAATCAATAAGAAGATAATATGGATTGCTCAACACAAACCTAGTTTGTGTCCTTTGCTTTTATGATAAAAGAACAGAGAAAATGATGGAAATATAAGCATTGACTGTTTTTGTTTTTATTTATTTTATCAATAACAAAATAGCAAATACCACATATCTGCACTGCTAGGCTACAACATATTCTTTAAGCTATCGCATCGAGCTAAAGCTTCATTTCTCTTTTTCCTTAATATTCTACATAATACTCGCAAATTCATATCAACGTTAGTTCATAGTTTGTCATATTTCATAAGCTACTCTGTGGTTTGTTGGTAAATGTAACTCAAGCTTATAGGATTACTAACATCGAAGAAAGCTAAGCTAACAAGGATTTTCAATCTAAAACAAAGCTTATGTACCGTCAAAGCCTAACAACAAAAAATATTACCAAAGAAACGGCTTTGCAAAAGGTAAATTATGAAAAATTGAATGAAGAAATATTATTTCCCATTGAGTTTACTTACGTGAGGTCATTTTGTTCGCCATAATGCAAATTTTTTGGCCAGATTTATCGCAATTCTGACCCAGTGGCTTCCTAGCTGTCACCTGCAAAGGGTTWAAATATATCGAGCTGGTGGAATTCATGAAGATTTACGTCTTTTTTTGGTAGTTTAATGAGCATTGACTAGACTTGTACTGCTGATACCGGTATGATTCGTCGATTATCGTTCGGGGAGTATTCGGAATGACTTCGTCATTTCTAGCATGTCAGCTGATGCTCGCCTGATGTCGCCTTATCCTTTCCGTATGTCACGCAAAATGCGTCATAAAAAATCTAAAAAAATAAGTTTGTTGATTAAGACGAATGATGAAATGCTAGAGAAATCAGACGCAGAAAACTTGGCAATGACCGACCAATATACATCATATAATTGCTGAAAAAGAAATTGGACTTCCTGTGTCGTTGAGCTACAGAGGCTGGAACGCCGAGCCGGGGCTTTCAGGGATCTATCTTAATAATATTTATTAGTTAATAATATTTATTATTTATAATGCGCAAATTATAATGTTTTAAAAATCTTATCAAATGCGCATCTTTGTCGGAGAAATATAGAGCCTTTTCACGAAGCCGTGCTAGTTTTATTGATGCGCAAGCTTTAGTTCCTTTCAGCATGTTGCTATTCGGGTTTTCGCTTTTTTAAATATTTTTCATAATCTATTTATCATGATTTTTATGCAAATCCGATATTGGCACAAGTCAGGGTATAGTGAAATCAAGCAAAACTACTTCCATTTGCTCTTAATGAAACTTGAAAGCTTTTATGCTCTCCTGGATTGACGTCACATATGAAAGATCTATGATGCGCTTTGAGTGTAGTGTTTCAAATCGCGTCCCACATGGAAAGGAGTGAGTACGTGTTGAAAGCCATCAGCGTCACATTCGAAAAAATTGAGTAAGCTGTCCATAGCAAGGGCTTCGGCTGAGCTTCCCGATCAGTCTGTAAATCTCCGGATAGCGGTGTCGGGGTCGAAATCTCCGGCGTAGCCGTAAATGCTTTCGCGCTGCCATACAACGGTTCAGCACTCGATGTCTGGAAGTATGGTCCTAATCTAATGAATTAAAAAGTAAAAATCCTAAAATCATGTCCATAGCGCGCAGAAAAACTTTGAAATAGATCTAATTTACTATGATAGTTGTTCCGTTTAATTTTTGCTAAACGCATCCCACATGGGAAGGTGCGAGTATGCGCTCAAASCCATCAGCTTCACATTCAAAAATTTTAGCAGTGTATTAGGTGATTTTCCTGCTAAATAGCTTTATCAGCGCTTTTTGAAACTTAGCGCCTTTTCCCCCCACTTAATTCGCATTTAGATTCTCAGAGACTCAGGTAAGCTGTCTCACCCAGTATGACCCGCCATGCCCCAAGGGTCTTGTTTTTTGTTTTAAAAAAAAAGACTGTTCCTGACAGTGTATGTTTTTCGCTTGATGTTTTCGCTGTCCGTCAATGTTTAGAAGAAATAAATAAACACACGACAGCCACTGTAACTTTCGTATAGAGCATATAATGTAGTTATTGCGGCTTCAAAGCTCTGATAAGCTATTTTTCAGAATTAACAGACTCTTCTCAAATTTGCTTGAGTGACCATAAAACAATATATAGGTAATAAAATAAAGTAAATTTATGATCAAATCAACTTGATCCTAGACTTGGAATCACTGTGTCGTGTTTACTCGGGTAGACTAGGGAAAGGTCTATTACAGTGCAACGCACAGAAGTATATCACGTTTAACGCATTTGCATACTTCTATGCACAGGCTTTTGTACGTTAAACCAACACATTTCAATGCCAAGCTGGCTGGTTTGGCATCACAAAGCCCTTGCATGAAGTATGCTACCATGCATTAAATGTGGTCATATTTTTGCGCATTGCTCTTTATTTTTCAAAATTACATGTAAGTGAGAGTAAAATCTTACAAATCATGAAAAGCAAGAAACTGTTGAAGGATAACTGGAATAGGTAAATCTGAAATGTGGATTATTCTTTTGCTACCCAAACTTTTTCTAATGACTAGTCGACATAAATTGACCAACTTTCTGGGCACTTCACACTGAACTATCAAATCATTCCAGTTGAAATCCCTATGATAATGATGACACGTCATCAACTTCTTCAGCTTTAGTCCATCTGCTCCAAAAAGAAGCAACAATTTTATCAAATCTCGTGAAAAAAATTTTGGGTTCAAAGGAGTAACTGAAACATGAAAGACACCATGTGGCTCTTTAAACAGCACTTCTAAATCTGCACCAGCCTTTAAAAGTATCTTAATACACTCCAGCTTAGTCTCTTCACTCTTGTGTGAAGCTAAATGATGATTAAGTCTCGTAACTGTAAGATTTAAGGCAGTGTTTTTTGCCTTGTCCTGTAAGTTTACATCAGCTCCATATTTCAGAAGAATGCTCAAGCACTCTGGATTAAAGTTTTTTGCAGCAGCAATGATTGGGTAAGAGTAGTATTCTTTATTTGGGTCAGCACCATGTTTTAGAAGAACTTCAAGACATCCAGATTCCTCTGCATCTATTGCACAGGACAATGTGGTTTCCTCTAATGAGTCAATCCTGAATGAACGGTTTGGGTCGCACCCACGTTTAATTAGTTCCTCACAGCACTTTACAGAACCAAATGAAGCTGCCACTTCAAGAGGTGTTTCATTACCCTCTTGCAGCTCTGCAGTCATACAAGCACCACATTCAATGAGTTCAACCACACATTCAACATTGTCTTCAGTTGCAGCCATATGCAATGGAGTCAAATTTCGTCCCTCTATGCATTTAGCATTGACATCTGCTCCTGCTTTGATGAGAAGTCTTATGCATTCAAGGTGACCTCTTTCTGCTGCAGCATGCAGTGGAGTAGCAAAGTCAGTTGTACTCTGTCTTACATCAGCACCTGCATCAATGAGTGCCTTAACACAGTCAACATGCCCTTCTTGGGAAGCAATAAACGCTGCAGTTGCATTATCATTGGTCCCTAAATTGACTTTCCCCTCATTTTTAATCAAAATGTTCAAGCAATCCTTGTGTCCATATTGTGCTGCAACAAACAAAGGTGTTGCTCCATCACTGTTTTTTATTGCAACATTCGCACCTGCTGAGATTAGAAGTTTCAAGCAGTCCTCTTCTCCAAGAAATGCAGCTTCGTGTAAAGCTGACCAGCCACCAGCATCTTGGCTATCCAGGTCTACATTGTGGTCAATACAAATCTGCAAATTAATGGTCAAATTTTTATTGATATGACCTTTAGGCTGACCTAAGTCAGGGCACGGCTAACTTGCAAATCAAAACCTGAAACAACCTCTGGGTTGATCAAAGTCAGGGCATGTCTAACTCACAGATAGAACCCTGAAACAACCTCTGGGTTGATCTAAGTCAGGGCATGGGTAACTGATAGATAGAACCCTGAAACAACCTCTGGACTGATCTAAGTCAGGGCATGGCTAACTCATGGATAAAAAACCCTGAAACAACCAGGGCGTAATCAAAGTCATTGTTAAATCAAAGATCAAACACTGAAAGAATCTCCCAAATTTCCATTTGCACCACACCAAAAACTCATGTCACAATTGATTTTGTTGACACAATTTTTTTTAAAAATTCATCCTTGGAATTTTGATTTGAGGTAGGGTCTTTCTTGCATCTTTTTCATCTGAGTGGGGAGGGGAAGGGAGGGGGGGGTAGTCTCCCCCACAGCCACTTTCAGTGTCGTCACGCAACGCTCAGGGGAGAAAGCGTTGCATGACGACACTGAAAGTGGCTGTGGGGGAGACTAGGGGGGGAATGGTGGAAGAGGAGATTGTAAATTATGCACTTCTTTCTAATTCCCCTAGATTTTTTTTTCAAGTATTGATATTAGAAGCTGTAACTTACCCGAACACATTCTTGATTTCTTCCTTTTACAGCTGCCACTAGTACTGATACCAACTCATCATTAGTAATACTAGCATCAGCTCCATGATGCAGTAGTATCCTCATGACCTGATCATGGCCATGCAAAGCCGCAAGAAATAGAGGAGTTTCTCCATTGTACGCTTTGGTGTCCTTAAAATCCCTCTTACATAGTCGAAGGAGTATTTCTACGCAAGAAGTGTGACCAGAATTTGCAGCCTCGTGTATAGGAAACCAGCCTCTGTTGTCACAAACATCTGAAGGATATCCTGTGAGGAAAAATAGCTTCATTAAGGAAATGCTGACGCTCATGCTTTCTTACCATAAGGAGGAATTTAGAAGAGTTTGATAAGCAAATAGCCCATACTGTAATAGCAGAAGTCAGAACTGAAATATTTCATAAAGGCCATTGCTAGAGAAAATAGAAGTTTTAGACTATTTTGTTACAGCTGCTGTGCTCAATTTTAACTAACAGTGAAGTATGAAGCTACAAAATCATAGAAAACCATTTAATATATGATGATGGTGACAACAATGATGATGAGGATGATGATTTAGATGATGATGTAGTTCATGATGATGATGATGATGCAGTTGATGGTGTACATGATTATGTAGATGATGATATTGTAGTTCATGATGATGATAATGATGATGATGATGTAGTTGTTGATGATGATAATGATGTAGATGATGATGATGTAGTTGATGATATAGAAAATGATGATTATCTAGATGACAACAATGATGTAGAATATAACTAATAGTGTAGATGATGATGATAATGTAAGTATTGATAATGAATAATGATAATTCAATTTACTCTTTACATTCTCTAAACTGGGCTCCCTGTGTCCATTGGGTTGTGGACCTTTGGGATTAAATATTCCTTTTTCATCGGTAATGAGGCATAAAATGAATGATTTCCCAGTAAAAGGGCAAGAGCATTTTTAAAGGGATAAATAACCTATAATCTTCTTCGACTTATAACGATATAAAATGTAAACTTAGTCAGAAAATAAGCTCAAGTTTACCTTTTTCGAGCAACTCCTTTAGCAACTCGCTATCCCCTGATTTTGCAACTTGACCAACATTAGAACTGGTGAATCTATCTTCTCTGTTAAAAAATACCTCGGAATTGCTTCCTTCTTCATTCATTTTTAAATCAAAAGAGCAGAATTCTGCAAAACGATATCAATAAATCAGCCAAACATCGCCAAACATAAACAAAATGGAGGCCGAAACCCAGGTACAACAGGCACTGTGATTGGTCAATAAAAGCTGTGAATATCTCTTGGCCAATGAAAACAGTTCTTTTATTTTTGAGCGGGAATATTTCACTACCACAGGTATTCCAATATCTTACTATCTTTGAGAAGTTTTTGAGACACAAGACCTATAAAGAAAGTTGGCGGTTTTGTGCGGTAATTAAGATAAAGGTAAGAATTTTTTAAATCAAAAATGCAATAGAAGACTATAAAGAAAGCTCTTTATTGTCATTTAGGTCAAGAACTACAAGGCCTAGTTACTAAATGCCAGTTGAACGGCCATTCAAACAAACTAGAATCATTAAAACTGAGTCAAATTCGGTCACAAACTCTATTCAATCCGCACAATAGTGTTCTATRCTCGACGGCGTGTAAAAGGTCGGGAGTTCGTGAAGAGTGGATTATGAAGCGGCTTGATCGTACTGAAACAAGACACCAAAAAGGTTTGCATAAAACCACGGAATCAGGAAGAGAATACTGAATCCGTACGTATCCGCACTGAATACTGAACAAATACGTAAAAAGGAATTTGAATTTAAATATTCAAATTGGAAATCTACAAGTTATTATTACTGRAATTTTAACTGAAGTCGTATGGTGAAAGTTCTCGGCAAAGCTCCTTCAAACGACACTGAAATAAACTTTTGACTTAACGTTTGAATATAAATTATTTTCATTTAGTATTATAGCACAACC